CTGGTAGGGACTAATAATAAGCAAAGTATCATAATTCTTGACTTAATATCCAGAGCTCCCGAGGTTTATTCCTTCCGTAAAATAGTGAAAACATGCATCTGTTGGAATGTTGTAAAATCAGTATCGTCTTGCATTTAGTTGCTGAAATCAAAGACTCGACGAAAAATTGTCCAAAAGCGTTAGAAATCATAAATACTTATTTTTTGCTTAACTATAGTTAGTCTTTTGCTAATACAGTCTCTTCACCAGTTATACACATTTAGACATGTGATATATGTGTGATTGCTGATGCAAACAGCGCTATGAAACTGACAAAGACTACGGTTCAAAGAAGCTGTAGATGGTCTTTGCTGGATTTGATTCAATGATTCCTCTTATGTATCCTTGCGAAATCTAGTTTGAGATCTTACAAGTTTTTAGTTCTGGAAGGAATTTGACATTAAGATTAAACTAGTTCATCTGTCACAAGTGGTCTGTTACGGAAACAACGAAGCCTATAACAATTGATCATAGTTTCTTTTACAGATGAGTAATGCTGCTTCCTATTCTCAATGGATTCACCCTCTTCACAGTCAGGTAATTTTATGAGACTAACTTTGTTGAAACCAATATCTGAAGAGTGGTCTCCATCAATCATTTGTTTCTTTCGGAATTCGTAGGTACGACGATGGATGAAACAAAGGCGGATTTGTGCAGAGGAGTGTGTTTGTGTGTGTTTTGTGCTATCTTTTGCAATCATCAAGTCCCAATCTCCTCTGGATTAATTATTCTCAGTCCTTTTTTATTTTTTATTTTTTAATTCTCCATGTATGATTTTCACATTTAAAAACATTGAAAGAATTGGTATGAACTCTAAAAACCCTTTTGGGATTGTGATCTTCGTCGTCTTCAATCCCATAATCTAATGTCTAAATCTGTTTGGATTATTGATCCAATTCTAATGATTCAAAAGACCTCCTGTATCGTTTTGAATTATATTCTTAATTAATTTGTGATGTCGTGTGAATGTAGATTACGTTATGATTCAATCAAATGTTAGGTTGTGCTTAATTAGTGTTGTTTTTTAATCTAATTGTCAAACTCAACGTAAGGGACAAAGAATGATCTATTTTAGGTTCTGGTTTGACTTTTGGAACTATGGGACTAAAGTTTGAATGTCTTTGACTTTAGTCATATATATTGCTTTGATTGTGAAAGCCACCAAATTTCCTGACAAATATTTTCTACTTTCTGTATCGATTTGTAATGGGGTTAAATTTAGTAGAAAATCTATCACATTCCTTTGAATTATGATGTAAACTGCATTTAAAATTCATTCTTTAGATGGGGTGGGAAATTTATGGCCTAATTTGACAAGAGTTGAAATGAGAACCACATGTTTATTTAAGTAAATAATTCGATAGACCCAACGGTCCAACCCCCACACACAACTAGCAGTCTCTTAACTAACCATAAAATTTAAATTTCTTGATAGAACTGAAAATGTATTCAATAGGATGTAATTTTTTTATGTGTGAAGATCCATTACTTTCTAAGAATTTTTTTTTTTTTGGGTGTAAATGTTAAGATTTTTCAGAGAATTTTTGTTTTGCTGAGGTAGTAGATTATTCGTTATAGAAGTAGTCTCGTTTATCGTTTGTTTCGATTTGCTTTCACGTTTGTTTTTGCAAAGTTTAGGTTGTGTTTTTAGCAAAGTTTGTTCTAATTAGAGTCAATCTACAGTTGGTATCATGCTTGAGAATACGATCCTAATATTTCAGATGGAAGAAAAGGATGTAATATGTTTTATGTGTATATAACCAAAGTATAATAAAAAAAAAACACAAAAGAGTAACTCTAAAAATTTCAAATCCCAAATACTAATACATACAAAGATAAGATCATGTGAATGAAGAAGATGGTGAGATAATTTAAAGGTAAAGGTGGTGATGGCATTATTATTTTTATGGACCTTCAAGAAAACAGTTCGCAGACTCGAACAGATATGACAGGTTCAATGTTCTTGGAGAATGAAAGAAACATTCATGACCCCATACAAATTATATTAAAAAAAATATCTCGAATTTATTATAATCTCTTTAATAGTCCCCACATTTTTATTTTTGAGTGGTCGAAATTAGAAAGCAAACAACCAAAATCATTTTTGTGTCCATCTGTCACCATTCCTTTGATCCAT